CCTCTTTTTATTTGTGATATACTGTCTCAGTCTAAATTAAATTCACACTGGTGTTTTAGGATGCCAAACAAATTAGAATATAGTAATAATAACGACAGTAATAGACATATATTGTAAAACAATTGCAATGTAAAATAAAAAAAATAAAAAAATTCATAGTTTTTTTTTTTTGCGCTTTACACTACAGTAGGGAAATTACAATACTTCTTTCCTAATTTCTACACTTGAAAGAGATATTTTGAATTTGGACTGTATTTAAACCACTAGCTGTCAGCAATTCATACCGCACTTTAAAGCTTTTATTTTGACGGAAACGGCAGTAGAGCTTTTATTTCTAAAGAAAACTCCAGCTTCAGTGAAAACAGTCTTACAAAAATGCATCTCACTACAAGTCATCTGCTGTGAAAATAAAGCCTAACTGGTGGCTGTTGCGTTCCCAGATGCATGCTAAACTCACAGCACATGAAATAAACGAGTTCACTGCATTCATTCACTGTGAACTAAGCCGAAGTGCGCAGCGAAAACAGACTTTAAGAGATTAAGCCATATTGTGCTTTCGGCTTTAGTTCATTTGACAGATACTGTGCTAAAGCATAATGGTCCAAAACACAACTTTAAAGACCTTTTATGTTAAAATAATAAGTTAAAAAATATTTTAAAAACAACATTTTTGCCCAGAAGACCTATCGTTTTATATCGTTATGTGACCACGATAATATCGAGACGGTTTTGCTAACGTGATATCACGATATTGATAATATCGTTACATCCCTTATATATATATATATAAGGTGGGTGCAAGGACTGGAATTGAGAACCGCTGGTCTAGGATGACCTATTAGCACCCATTTGGTCTTGTGTTATTTAAATTATTTTTTTCTTCATTACTACAGTGTTGATGGCAATAACAAAACAGGAAAATCAGTGCAGGAACAGATTGATGAATTCAGTATCATCCAAAGTGGCACTGCTTACTCACCATCTTCCATGCTATACCACATGGAAAACTTCATCAAAACAGAGGCGAGTTGTCTTTATTATAGTTGTCTTTTATTTTATTCTATTTGATGCTTACTTTCATTTATACCTATCTATCTACAGGTAACTCTATTCCAATGAATGATTACTAATGTGCAAGCAACAGAATTTGTTATCTTTATAAATCTCATTCATTGTCTCAAAAAATATCATTGTCAAGTTTCAAGTGTCAAAATGCAAAGGCCTTCTGAAAGCAGAAAAGCTCTATTTCCTCTAAAAGAGTGAGATGTGACTGGGTCTGCTGTGTTGCCAGTCCTTGTAGTTCTATTTCCAGTTCTCGATCCGTTGTTTTTTCCTACTAAAATGGGATACTGTTTTATACCTAGTGTGAATTATTTTAATTTCAACAACAATGACCATGGCATTTATACTTACTGATATATATAGTACATAATAATAATAATAATATGTATATGAATAATTATCTGTGTTAACCTCCTGATAAGGAAACCAAAGTGAAGGCATTGCTCAAAAGAGAAGTTGTTGCGAGAAAGAAGGAAATCTACTCATCAATCCAAAAAACAATTCAGAATCGAATGACTGCTGGCTATGAGCGTAAGGAAGCATTTAAATCAACACACACTAATTTCAGTTTAACTGTTGCCCACCTGAGGTTGCACAAACCTGTTAGCTTTAAGACCACAGATGAAACCACATTTTTGTCCTTATATAACTAATTACAGTTTTTCTCTCAGAGACATTCTATGTTTGTATTGCCTGTGTTAAAGAATATTAAATATTAACAGAATATTAAATGTTACCTATTACAGAAGCTGCAAAGTTGAAAGGAGTGAAAGCAATGGAGAAGAGGGAGGATAAAATAACGGAAACAATTGAATTGTTAAAACCCAGCATGTTCAAAGATGCAAAAATGGAAGTTCTGAATCAGTTCAAGGATTTAAAGGTATTTCTCAATATTGTTTAAACATATTTGCTGCTTCTTTCTGAACATACTTACGAGCAACACAAAAACGCTCTTCTTTTTCTATACCTTGACTATGTGTTTTCTGTTGTTTCTTTCGAAAGGAGCATATATGCAAGACCCTTGAATCTGAGCTAAAGGGATCAGTGGAACGCTCACTTTCACAAACCAGCAGAACCACCCTGATGGGTAAGAGAGAATTAAACAACAAAAACTGTTTTTCAAAATGATCTTATGCATAGTAAAGTACTTGAGTGATAATTTTGAATCATGGCCTTGTTCAAATGATCACAAATATTAAGACATACTTCAAAATCAGGCTTAACACCCAGTAATATGTCTTTTCTAGATGTCACTAGAGAGATTGAAAAGCTGGAGAGACTGTCAAAGCAGCTTATCTGACTGAGGTCAAGAGCAAGGACAAGAGAAACTGCATCTTTTTCAGTGAAAGTTATTTTTAGGATAAATGTATTTGTATCATAAAGCATGCTTAAAGCTCTATTATTATAATATATGTATATATTTTTTTTTTTTTGACCAAACTTTTGACTGTGTAAAGAGAGAATAAAATAACAAAATATTAAGACATACTTTAAAATCAGGCTGAACACCCAGTAATATTTCTTTTCTAGATGTCACCAGAAAGATCGAAAGGTTGGAGCTTCTGTCAAGGTCTGTCATCTGACTCGTCATTTAAAAGCAGCATCTCAGCATTTTTCAGTGAAAGTTATTTTTAAGATAAATGTATTTCTATTATAAAGCATGCTTAAAGCTCTATTATTATTATTATTATTATTATTATTATTATTTCAAATCCTTTAAATTGTTGGACTTAACTTTTGATTGTGCAGTAAGCACTGCTTAACAGACCTCCTGTCAAAGCAAGAAAGAGAATAGGTGTCTCTGGCTTGTGGCTAACAATGGTTATAGAAAAATATGATTTAATGTATGTGTCTCGCTTTGCAAGTAGTTAGGTGTTGCATTTGCAAAATGAAAGCCTTTGCAATTGCAACCTGCATATATCCTGTGTTTAAGTAACCAAGAGCTTGCTGCAGAGTTAAAACTTAGTGGGTGTGTGTTAATCTTGTTTTGTATGTTCATATATGGAAATTCTTTGTTGTGAAGCAATACTGTGTAACCAAGGCAGAACTACAGTATATATTGAAAAACTTGGAACAGAACGGCACCACACCTCGGGGTGAAGACATCTCGCTGTTATGTTGTGTTGATTTCTTATTCTGAATTTGTTTATTAAAGCGAAACCATTTCAAATGGTGATGCTTTTAAACCTCTCTTAAACAAAATCTCAGAGTAAATTATTTTATTCATAACACTATTATCTGAACCTAAATACTTATCTCAGATGAGCCTCAAGAGGACCGGACCTGATTGATGCTGGAAGGACACCGCACAGGGTTTCTAGACAGCTAACCACATACCAAATCTGAAGGACAAATCCTTTGATTTGGAATTGGCTATTTGGGATTGTAGAGATATGTGTTAGAGTGTTTAGATAATAAGGCAGTATAAAAATACAACATGGCGCCCAACGTGTGAGGGTCGAGTACAAAGGGAGAAAAACTTTAGGCATAATAGAGAGATAAGCAGAAAAAAGACCCCATATACCCACAGCCATAGAAAGCAGTTCAGAGGAACTGAAGTGAAAGTGTGAGCAGGCTAGAGAAGACCTGTAAAAAGATAAAAGACAGAGATTCAGAGACCCTCAGAACAGGGTGAGTTAGTCAGAAAAAAAAAACGGGTTTGAAAGTTAAAAGTGAGATATGATGGGCCAAATGGTTACCATTGATCTAGTTTCTCGGGATATGGGGGGGGGGGACTATAATGGATTAATGGCATGCAGTCCAGTCAGATACCATGGGGAGAGGTCAGGGTGATCGCTTCCATAGTAAATCTCAGAATGAGGCAAGGGGCAGAGGCTCCGACCTTCATTTACTCCAAAAAGGAGGCAAGGATAGATCTCCCAAAGTAAGAGTTTTTGACGAAGCAGGGGGAGAATTAAAAGGCATGCCAACAAGAGATTGGGCCACCCTAGCTGAAGTTGACCAGGGAGAAGGATCTGACGGGCTCAATAGCTCCTAGTTTTATACCTTGGAAACGAATATGCTCTTGATTCAAGTGCTCCAGCACCTGATAACCCCAATAGCCCAAGTGATGAATTTTCGTCAGAGGACGAAGAGCCACTCAGGATTTATTTTGGAAAGGGAAACATTTTTATTATCTTAAAAAAGGGTGTTTAGAGCAGGAGGAGGAAGCTTGTGTTTTGGTAAATGCTGCCAATAAATTTCTCAGCCATGGGGCTGGGGTGGCTGCAGCCCTTAGAGAACGGGCAGGACAAAAATTTCAAGAAGAATCAGATGGACTGATAGAACGTAGAAAGAACCCCCCTAGAACGGGAGATATAATCCTACAGAAAATAGGAGGGCCAAATGGCAAACCAGTAATACATGCCATTGGGCACGAAAAAAGCAGAGGCCACGAATTAGAAGAATTAAAAGCTATTTTGACCTTGGACACATTAATCTCCTGGGGTCGAAGCCCGCACCAGTGCGGTCTGTCTCGTATTTCCTTTATGACCGCGAAAAGAACTAAAAATACTCCGTCAGTTTTGATCGTACAAATAAGAATAAGGTATCGTTTGAAACTGCAAAGGGTCTACTTTTATTTGCGTATAGTCATAATAACAACAAAACAATATGCTTTTGTAAAATAAAGAAAATAAACAGGGTGCGTTCTCTGCCGTCTCAGTCTCTGTCACCTCTCTTCACAGATACGTAAATAAAACAACATGAATCTCCGCGAATACTTGCCTCAAAGACATGAGAAATATATGTATAGAAAGCTTGAAATGTCTACTTTTAAATGAAGTAAGTCACGTCCAAAACAAATATTCTCTGGTAAAGTAATCCGTATTAAACCAACGCGATGTCCAGTTTTCCAGTCTCAACTCATTATATGTAATGCGGTCACGTGCCGATCGCGGCTTTTCAGATTCTAAACATCCACGTGAGACGC